CCCAGCGCCGCATCGCACACACCAAGGCCGTCGACGGGTACGCTCACCAACCGCACACCACACTCACCGCACACGCTCACCAACCGCACACGCACACGCGCACGACACGACACGACACGCACAGCGTGTTGAGCTGGACGGCGAGGCAGCTCGACGCGTTCCTGTCGCTGTGCCGCGACAAGTTCAAGCGCGCCGAGATCGAGCCCGGCACCGCCGTCGGCGCCCTGGGCGCGCAGAGCATCGGCGAGCCCGGCACGCAGATGACCCTCAAGACCTTCCACTTTGCCGGCGTGGCGTCGATGAACATCACCCTCGGCGTGCCGCGCATCAAGGAGATCATCAACGCCTCGAAGAACATCTCGACGCCCATCATCACCGCCATCCTCTCCCAGGACTCGGACGAAAAGTTTGCCCGCATCGTCAAGGGCCGCATCGAAAAGACCACCCTGGGCGAGGTACCCGCGCGTGCGGTCGAGCGTGTGCGGTGTGCGCGGTCGTGCGTGTGTGCGGTTGTGTGTGTGTGCGTGTGTGTGCGGAAAGAGGCTGAGCGTGTGTGGCAGGTGTCGGAGTACATTAAGGAGGTGTACAACCCGGGCGGATGCTATATTTCGGTGAAGCTGGACAAGGACGCCATTCGTGCGCTGCAGCTGGAGATCAACTCGGCGTCCGTCATGCGCGCCATCCTCAACAGCCCGCGCACCAAGATCAAGGCCGAGGTATGCACGACACACGACACACGACACACGACACACGACACACGACACACGACACACGACACACGACACACGACACACGACACACGACACACGACACACGACACACGACACACGACACACGACACACGACACACGACACACGACACACGACACACGACACACGACACACGACACACGACACACGACACACGACACACGACACACGACACACGACACACGACACACGACACACGACACACGACACACGACACACGACACATACTCATCTATGATCTACATAGCACGTGTCGACGAGCGGCGAGTGGAAGCTGCGTGTGATGCCCATCGAGCGCTCGCGCGAGCAGATGTACTTCTCGCTCCAGACCGTCAAGAACCTCCTCCCCAGCGTACTCATTCGGGTTCGTATTTATTTATTATCTGATATTTATTTATTCTTATTTAAAATAAGTGATAAATGAATAACAAAATAATAATGTGCTATTATTATTTTTGGAATGCAGGGAATTCCGACGGTGTCGAGGGCGGTGATCAACAAGAAGGGCTCGGGTGCGGACGCGCGGTACAACCTGCTGGTGGAGGGCTACAACCTCCTCTCCGTGATGGCCACCCCGGGCGTGGTCGGCTCCCGAACCACCTCCAACCACATCATCGAAGTCATGACCGTACGACACACACCACATACACACACACGCACGCACACACACACACACACACGCACGCACGCACACGCTATACCGCTTATTGACGTGCAATGGTGTGGTTGGGTGGGTGGTCTGTCAGACGCTGGGCATTGAAGCCGCGCGCGTGACGATCATGAACGAAATCCAGTACACCATGAAGGAGCACGGCATGAACATCGACACGCGCCACGTCATGCTTCTCGCCGATCTCATGTGCTTCCGAGTACGCTCTTCCCTTTCTTCAAAACACGACACACAACACGACACGACACACACGACACACGACACTCATCATCGCACACGACACACGACACGTGTAGGGTGAGATTCTGGGTATCACGCGGCACGGTATCGACAAGATGAACGACAGCGTGATGATGTTGGCCTCCTTCGAAAAGACCACTGACCACCTCTTCAACGCCTCCTTCCACGCTCGCCAGGACACCATCACCGGCGTACGCATTCCTCCCGCGCGTTGCGTGTGCGGTGGTGCGTGCGTGCGGTGGCGTTTGCGTGTTTGTCTGACCTGGCTGGGCGGTGTGCGTGTGCGGTGGTGCGTGTGCGTGTGCGGTTTGTCTGACCTGGCTGGGCGCGCACACACAGGTCAGCGAGAGCATCATCATGGGCATTCCGATCGCGGTGGGCACGGGCCTGTTCAAGCTGCTCCGAAAAACGCCCTCGCTCGACAAGGAGCCCAAGCGGGGCCTCCTCCTCGACTCCCTCACCGACTCCTCGGCCAGCCCCTCCTTCACCCTCGACATCGCCTCGGCCCTCGCGGCCACCTCCCCTATCTCTTAAGGTGGCTGGCCACGTAGGCTAAAACAGAAAAGAGGAATGCTTGGAATGCACTACAGGAGACGCGCACGAACGAGGGTGTGCCAGCCCAGCTCCTGCTCCAGCTGCCTGAAGGTGGCCTCGTCCACGTCCTGCCCGTGCACCCGTGTAA